GTACGAACCCTTTGTACGAACAAAAGTAATAGAAATTTAGGAGAAGAATACGAACATGTTCTTGCATGAGGCCCATTGTTCCAACAAAGAAATAATCTACCAAACATTCATTTTCTTGTTTTTGTGCCAAGTATGTATATTAATTATGCAAGTTTCAGTTTTCTAAATAAAACTAAGTAACAAGTTGTTGCTTGTTTAAGCCAAAAACTATTTAAAATTATCTATTTTAAAAGGTTGTGCCACAAAACAACTGCTGTAGATTGGAGGAAAAAAAAAAGATCCCTAAAATAATCTTCTTTTCAAGCGACAAAGCTGCTGAGTTTAACCTCCCTGAATTATCTCACTGCACGCTGTAAATTAAAACACCGAAGAATGACGGGACATACGCTGGTCTTCTTGTTTCAAACAAGGTGAGCAGAATCTGGATCACGCTGACGATTGCTGACTCATTCTTGTCCTTTTCAAAAATATTAGCGAGCAGCTGCTCCACCGTCTCCTGCCTGAGGAGGGAAACGGAAGAGAAGATGAAGCAAAGGAAGATTCAACGAGATGAAATTAATGAACATCAACATGAACGGACAGTCTGTTACACTTTGTGCTGATATTTATTCAGTTCTGATAGACAGGCTGCAGCCGTGTCCTAAATTACTTTGTTTTCCTTTAAGTGGAGTTTGCCTTTATGCACTTTGTCTGCTCCTGACGTTTCATGTTTTCTAACATGCTTTGAATATTTGAATGGCATGAAATTAAAGAATGGCATACTTCTCAAGTGTGGACAGCAGAGGGTCCGGCTCTGAGTAGCCTTGGACCTGAAACATCTGGTCTCTGCTCAGTCTGATGATCTCACATAGGGACTGAGAGGCATTTGAGTGCTTCTGTGTAAAACAACAAATATTGTCAGAAAGAAAGAGCTTATAGGTCAAGTAAAAACATTAATATGCTTTAGTGTGTGAGGAACTCACATCTTCGTCTTGAGAAGGCTGTACCATATCTACTAGTCTCTGAATCACCTTCTCCTCATTCAGCCACTTGAAAACAAGACAAATTAAAACCCATTATTGGCACCAAAATAAAAGACCACGTAGTAAACACCTTTAGAATAACGAGAGAGAAAAGATTAATAAGTTCTGATAAAACTAGATTATTCCCTCCATTCATCTTTAAATTCTCCTCTTTCCTGGGTTGTGGGGAGCTGGTACCTGTGTCCAGCTGTCACAGTGTGTGAGGGGGTGCACAACCCTGTGATGGACAGCTCTAATGTTGTGCTAATCAGATTAATATAATGCTTTCATTTACCTCCTTCTGCCTTCTTAGCTGCCATTTCTTGTCTCTTTCCTGTTTGAGAGGCTAAATCATGGGCTGCAGCTGAAGTCGGCCGCATTTGTCGGCAACTTGTGTTACCGCCCTGTGCCGTAGAGTGTCCCAATTTGTAGGCGCCTACAAATGTGGTCGACAAAACCCTGAAAACTAGGCTGCTTCTGAGTATCCTACATGGCCGACGGTATGCCAGAATTCATTGTGCCATCAGGAAATTAAGCAGAAAAACAAAGACGGCAAAAGTTTTATTTGAGGAGGGCATTTTTTGATGACGGAGTTTGGAAATTCATCACAGACTGAAGAATGAAAGTAAGTTAAGCAGCTTGGCTGAAGAAACCTTTATTGCAATAAGATAAAATGCAGCTACAAGTACTGATACTGGAGCTAAACCCAAATTATTGTTGCTTTTGATTTATTTAATTATGTTTTTCTATCAAAACTGAATTTGTGACGTTATACCTTGAAAAATCATGTCTTCCGCGGACTAGACCGTCTCATTTCACAGCCGTTTATGCAGCCGACATGAGCAGCTGACGGCCCACGTCGACCGCGGTCTACATCGGTTGCAACCCATAAATTGAGACACAGCCTCTTTCAGAACACAGCTAAACGGGTCAACATCTCACTCCCTGTTGATGTTCCTCCTGGCAGTTRAGAAGTCACAGACAGAGATGCTCTCTTATTGCTCTGTGTGATTTCAGAGAACATTAATCAGTATGGAATTAAAAGAGACCTGGAAAAACACTCAGCTGCTCTGATCCAAGCTGCTGATGTCTGCAGCAGGAGCTGCCAGATGGCTCTTCCCCCGATTATGTTGCAGATCAAAATATGTCCAAGTATGTCTTTTATAAGTTTTAAGTTTCAAAATTATCTCTTATTACGATTGTATCTACACTGCTGAATACATTCAGCCAGTCTCCGCGTCAATAGTTTATATTTATTTTCTCCTCTGCATGTATATACAGAGAGGAGCTAACATTAATTACACCGATAATAACATTTATTCAAAATACACCTATTTCTTTGTTCTAATCATACTAACTCTTGTAGAAACAAAATATCAGTTATGTATTACAAAAAACAAGCATAGTAAAAAACTTTCTCCTAATCACTGTTAAAATTAATTTGTTTTCCTTCATTTAAATGCTCATTTCTTCACTGGGAGGTAAACATGATTATCTGTGCCCTTAAGGGTTAATGTTCCTAACCAAAGGAGTTGAAGTTGTGTGTCTGTGGGACTGAGGAGACAGCAGAGACCAGGAGGAGGAAATCAGCTCTGTGTTTTCAACAAGAGTTGCTGTTGGGGTAGCTCCTGTTGCCTTTTTTTGTTAAAATACAGACGGTGTGTTTACGTTTCCTGTTATTTTTGGGATCAATGGATAAAGTCTCAAAGATCTCAACAAGTCTGTCACTACCTCACTCAGAGGTAGAGGTGGCTGGTAGAGACCTGCAGAGAGAACATGAGGAAACTCTGCTGTGAACCAACAGAGGTCGGCTGCAGGAGATAAGGGTTGCTGGGAAGAAAAAAATCTACAATAAATGTGAGTGAGATAAAACTTGGAGGATATAGATGAAGAGCTGATCCATGGGGTGTTGTGTTACTTATCGTGGACTGGGTCACCCGGGTCAGTGTGTGTGATGAAGAGATGATGAAAGACCCCAAACACCTAACTATCCTGCGTTCATCACAAACACAATGCATTATCTTACTTTATCATTAAATAAAACAAAAATCTAACAAGGTGGTTTCAGATGGTGACTCGATAAATAAAATAAGTCTTGTAAAAACTGGAGTGGAGACGGTTGGTAACAGATGTTTAAACAGCAAAGATATTTGAGTTTTCTCAAATGTGTTTTCAATGGGGCAGAGGAAGAGCCAAGTGAAACTGTTCTTATCAGTGAATGCACAAAACCATCACATCCTAAAGAACACCCAACAAGGATTTGGTGTTTTATTTATCCTGAAAGTTTCTCTAAATGTCTGAAACAGTTTGGAAAGTCAACCACAGGGCTGATGATAGAACAAATCCTGAGCTTTGAACGTTAGAAACCACATCATCAAACCTGTAACCAAAATACAGGCTAACAAAATCAACACAAGTTATGTGAAAACTGTCATTTATATTTTATATTTGATCATTAAATACATTAGTTTCATTAAGTCTGGTTCCTAATATAAACGGCCTGTTTTTAATGGTAGAAGAATAAGTTATAACAGCTGATATTTATGATGAACTAAAAACTGAGGAACACTGAGGGTTTTGGATGAAAAAAGAATCTGAAGAGAGACGAAACTTTGCTACACTTTTGTTTAAACAAAGATTTTTTTAAGTGATAATATTGTTTAATTCCAAGAACTAAAGCAACAGAAGCAGCCAACTGTGCCAGGACAGGTTGCAAGCTCCCACGCCAGAGCAGCTAATCAACGTTTTGCACAACACCTGTCTCCTTTCCTTGCAGCAGAAACACACCTGTTGGTCGATGTTGTTGCCTGGGTCACTGTTATAAAAGTCATTGGACTTCTTTCTGCCTGCTCCACCTGTTTGCTGCTGTTCAGCTAACATTAGCATTGACCTGCGCAGATCATCTCTCTCAGGTGGAGGAATCAGTGAACGTCTTTCTGACAGCTGGTTCAAATTGGTTCTAACAAATAAATTCAATTATTTTGAGTGCCACTCCAACTTCTGGTGGATGTGAATCAAAGTTTTGCAGAGACCCAAGTCCCGCCCCCACAATTTCCGTTTGGCTAGTAGCCCTGTCTAATGAGAAAGCTGCGACTTGAATCTTCTGCACCCCCACCCCAGAGGAAAACCGGAATACTATCATCCCTGCAACGAACAAACCATCCCCTCTGTTTAAACTAGGAAGTATAATTTGAATTTTGATAAAAAGATTCATTTTATTTAGCTATCAGAGCAACCTGTATCGGTTTTTAGCATTTGTCATAATGGTGGTACGTGGAGAGAGCTTAGCTTTTTTCCAAGGTGGTAAACATTACAAAAAACAGCAAAACACACAAAAATAAAAACTAAGGATCACTAAATTATATAACAGCATTTTCTGTAAAAATAAGAAAAGGAGCAGTGTTGTTACCCACATTTAAAACATCCTGGCGCAGCTGCTGTGGTTCGATGCAGGTGAGCATTCTAAGCAGCAGGTCCATGATGGCAGACGTCCCAATGTGTTTGATCATCAAATCTACAAAGTCCTCCCTCTTCCTCAGAAAATTCACTATCTATCAAAACAAACAAAAACATACACATTTAAAATAAGACCAAACATTCTACTGAAACAGGAAACAGTCAAATACGTTTACATTTTGTAATAATATTCATTATTTCTCTTCACAGGCTCACCTGTTCAGGCTTGCGTCCTATAAGAATTGACAGGACTTTGGAGAAAAAGCTGGCTAGGAGGGGATTGAGAGGTGGACCGTTCTTGAGGAAACCGTAGAGTTTCATTAGCAAATTCTCATCTTCTCCCAGTCTGTCGTTAATCTGGCTCACATCCGACGTTAGCAGCTCGCACGATATGTTGGGATACCTTCAAGAAACAAAAGATGCTTTTAGTCTCCAAGCTGTACAGTACGTCATGTGAGAGGTTCACTGTAAGCTTTTATGGTTTAATTATCGGTTATTTTAATTGGTTTTATGTGTGTTTCTTTTGTCTTTTTAGGCCTTTTTATTCCAGATGGGTTGCTCTCATCTATGTTTGCACACATTTAATACAGTGGACAAAATCTACAATCTATAGAAGTTTAGGAAATTGTAGAACAAAACAGCACACCAGTTATGTAATGTTTCCTTTTAATATAATTTTCTCTTACTTGTATTTAACCTTCTCCTCAACATCAGCATTGGGCTCCTGTGTGATGAAGGTGACCAGGTCCTCCATGCACTGTGGTCTCAGCAGAAAGTCAACCAGCTTGTGGTTCTGAGCCTTGCACTCCTGCAAGACATCGTCCTCATCCATGACCTCTGTGAGAGTCACATCTTCTTTTTCTAGAAGTGTGTCAATGTGGGACGTGGTATGGAGGTCAAATTTCCAAAACATGTTGGTTCTAAAACGAAAAAGTGAAAAACAAAGTAAACAAGGTGCAACTGCAGGAGAAATGGCATTTAATGTGTACAACTGACATGTCAGGAGCAGCGATGTGCCTGACATGATGAAAATTATCATCATCAGTAAAGTTAGTGCCAATTTCCTGCAGTCGCTTTGAGAGACACGCAGAGCTACGTAGAACCAAAACTCTTCAAACAACTTCACCTGGGGACAATTTAGAGTTACCAATTAAACTAAAATGCATGTTTTGGTCTGTGGGAGGAAATGAAAGCTCCTGGAGAAAACCCACGCATGTATGAAGATAACATGACACAAATGTTGTAGTTGGGAGGCGATCCTGTGACTTTTAGAGCTCTAAACACTGCCCCACCAAACCACAACAAAACTGAGCAGCAGAAGAGAGGAAAAAAATTTAAAGACAGCGGTAGATTTCTATTGTAAAAGAACCAAGTAGAACGGAGGTTCTATTAAAAAAAAAAAAACAATAGTGAGTAATGGGACAGGCTAGTTTTTGACAAAAGCAAATAGTAACAGGCAACTTATCTCATTCCAGACCAGTGATACACATACATGTAAACTTGTACGGACTGTCCGTAATTTACACAGATTTTTCTTTATTTTGCAGGTATACGGACATATAAATGAACCGATTTTTCAAAAATTTAACATCTCAGAGCCTGTAGGACATAAACAAAAACCATCTTCAGACCTGCTCTGCCACTAGAAACAAGTTCTCCCGTCCTCATTTCCGCGGCTGACGGAATACATCACGCACAGCTCAGGATTTAAACAACGGTTTTAATATTTTCTTGTATGAAGTAAAATATTCTGTCGTGGGGATAAAACCTCATTTCTCCCTCCCTCCCACTGTACACAAGCATAAAGAACAATCAGCAGTAGTTCACTCACCAAAATCAGAGGAGAAACATCTTTTTTTTCCTAGTTAACTGCAGCGATAAAAAAATAAAACTTGGATGTTAGCTGCACGTTCATGTTCTGTTAAGTCCATCTTGCTAATTCAACAACTGGCAGACTGGTTTTAAAATTGCATTGCTCTTCCTGTCTCTCAGCAGCAGCAATGGCTACAGGTGTGTCCCCAATGTTTCCCCGCCACCACAGGGTGGTGCCAATGTGTAGCATAGCTCATTTTCTAACTATAACTAACTTTAGAAGTTATGCAGCATTTCTTTTAGTATTTTCAGGATGATCTATAACATATTTGTGATACAATTATAACCCAACAATCTTTTTTTTTTTTACATATGAAGCCCAACAAAAGGCCAGCTCAAGATAGAAGTGAGCTAGAAAAACAGGAAAAAAGAAGAAAACAGAAGGAAGGCTATGAGAGGAAGAGGGAGAGAAAATTCCAAGAAAGCTGGGGAAAGTCTATGGGTGGCTTGATTTTGAGCTATCTGCAGGAAATTTCCTAAATTAGCAGACGAGACGGATGCTTTATGGGTTGTTGTTCATTTAGGCTGCAGAATGTTTCCCATTCAGTCCTCCAACCATAGGTTCAACATTTTTGTAGAAATTTCTGCTTTTCATTCTCTCTTAATAAGAATTTAAAAATGAGTCAAAGACATACAGTATCACACCGAGCTCCTGGGAAACCCCTCCCACTGCAGATACATCACTGCATGGGTTTCCTTCTGCTGGAGTCTACATAGGGATGGGTACCGAATTCGATACTTTTTGATGTACAGACCGAAATCTGTCAGTAATACCGAGTATCTATTCACGTAACGTCAAACGGTAACATGTTTCGGTAACTAAACGCATCGTTGTGATCGGTTTGGCGTAAGAGTGGTGAGTTTTCCATGCTTGTCCTGAARGCAGCATTGRGACCGTATTGGKGTAAGAGTGGTGAGTTTTCCATGCTTGTCCTGAACGCAGCATCACGCAAAAGCGTAATGACGTCAGCAGCAGCAGCTGCTGGTTCAGTAAACGGAGGCAGAGCTCGGTCTGAATGTAGCTTGAAAACCTCGCAGCTCCTGGATTAAAACTCGCCGAACAGACCGCCTCTGAATTATCTGGTGGATTAATTATCTTGTGAGCACGACGTTCGCTTGCTCAAAGTAAATAAAGTACCGCCACTTTCTTTATTTCATCCACCATTAAACAGAGACCGGCAGAGGAAAACAACAGAGGGGCTTCCTAACAGTCCGAACGCGTCTGACCTGAAAAAGCACAAGCAGCTAACTTGAAGTGTTGGACGCATTTTGGATGCTCAAAACGTGCTTGAATAACTCAACTCCATCCTCTTTTGCTTATTTGATTTAAAAACTTATTTGCCTTCCATGGACCTCCATCACACATTTTTCTAGTGGGGAAATGACATCAATAGAAAAACGTGGAGCTGGATTTTAATTTGTACAATAAGACAAAACAGTCTTGTTGTTTTCAACAGTTTTCACCTTAAAGAAATAAGTTGAACAACTGATGCTACAATACAAAGAGTTGGATGTTGTCTTGATGTTTGTTAATTTTTTATATTGAGAAATATATTATAAAAAAAAGTAAAAAAGTTTATTATTGAAAAACAACACAAATAAAGTACCAAAAATTGGTACCGTTAAGCACTGGTACCAATTCCCAGGTACTGGATATTGGTAACGAATCGATTCAAACGTCAAAGGTACCGTCCCTAAGTTTACACCTAGTAAAAAAATAAATAAACAATTAAAATTCAGATCTGTCGTTATTTGTCCACAAATACATCCCGGTTAAACTCCTCTCTTCTGTAGATGAATTCCTCAGTGTAAAATGTTGGTTTGATCTCCATCGATGAGCTTTTAACCATTTAACTATTTTTATAAATGTTTGTTTCCTGATACAACAGTTGGCTTCAGGAAGCGAGTAGATTATTATTTTTTTTGATGCAAGTGGTTAAAAAGCAAAATGTAGCATCCGTGTGGCGAGTGCTTTTATGCATAAAGAAACGTCCACACAAACACGTCCACACAAACTTTTGACTAATCACACAGTAAGTTGTCATGTGGAGGGGGGTGAAAGGTTCTGCCGGCAGGTTGTGACAAGAGGTTGAAGAAGAAATAGAAGAAGAAGCTGCGAACTGAAGGACACAATTTGTCATGAAACTGCAACAATGGGAGCCAATTTCATCAATGTGGATGGACCATGCAGAGGCCTTCATGTCGGTGCGTTCTCTCTCAGACTAAGCATGATAAAGGTAAATGTCTTCTTGGCTTATATTGGCTTACAATATATGGCTTGAAAAATTAATGAATTTAAAAAAAGGTGAATATTATAATTTACCAGTTTCATTGATCAATCCTATCTTAAGGCATTGGGCTTGGAGCTTACTGTATTTATTCACGTATAAAACTAGAAATTTAACCAAAAAAAAAAATCATCCATAAAGTGTGTGTGTATGGGGGGGCTTTTATACATGGGTTATTGATAATTAGATTTTTTTATGCATTTTAAATAAAAAAATGATCACATTATACATGAATACAGTATATGTTTTAATAGATTCATTATTAATATACATGAAGATCTTGTATCATCTCACATGGATAAGATAAAGAATAGCAATGTTACAAGCATTCTTGCAGATTCATCTACTCATGTTAGTACCTGTGACCTGGAGTCTATACACACTCACTGGCCACTTTATTAGGTACACCTTGCTAATACTGGGTTGGACCCACATTTGCCTTCAGAACTGCCTTTAATCCTTCGTGGCATAGATTCAACAAGGTACTGGAAACATTCCTCAGAGAGTCTAGTTCATATTGACATGATAGCATCACACAGTTGCTGCAGATTTGTCAGCTGCACATCCATGATGAGAATCTCCTGTTCCACCACATCCCAAAGGTCTGTATTGGATTGAGATCTGGTGACTGTGGAGGCAATTCCAGTACAGTTAACTCATTGTTGTGCTCAAGAAACCAGTTTGAGATGATTCACTTTATGACATGGAGCGTTATCCTGCTGGAAGTAGCCATCAGAAGATGGTACACTGTGGTCATAAAGGGATGGACATGGTCAGAAGACTGTACACTGTGGTCATAAAGAGATGGACATGGTCAGAAGACTGTACACTGTGGTCATAAAGAGATGGACATGGTCAGAAGATGGTACACTGTGGTCATAAAGAGATGGACATGGCCAGAAGATGGTACACTGTGGTCATAAAGGGATGGACATGGTCAGAAGATGGTAGACTGTGGTCATAAAGGGATGGACATGGTCAGTAGATGGTAGACAGTGGTCATAAAGGAATGGACATGGTCAGTAGATGGTAGACAGTGGTCATAAAGGGATGGACATGGTCAGAAGATTGTAGACTGTGGTCATAAAGGGATGGACATGGTCAGAAGATTGTAGACTGTGGTCATAAAGGGATGGACATTGTCAGAAGATGGTAGACTGTGGTCCTAAAGGGATGGACATGGTACGAAGATGGTAGACTGTGGTCATAAAGGGATGGACATGATCAGAAGATGGTAGACTGTGGTCATAAAGGGATGGACATGGTCAGATGGTACACTGTGGTCATTAAGGGATGGACATGGTCAGAAGATGGGTACACTGTGGTCAATAAGGGATGGACATGGTCAGAAGATGGTACACTGTGGTCATTAAGGGATGGACATGGTCAGAAGATGGGTACACTGTGGTCGTAAAGGGATGGACATGGTCAGCAACAATACTCAGGTAGGCTGTGGCGTTGACACAATGCTCATTTGGTACTAATGGGCCCAAAGAGTTTCAGGAAAATATACCCCACACCATTGCACCACCACCACCAGCCTGAACCATTGATACAAGGCAGGATGGATCCATGCTTTCATGTTTTTGACGCCAGATTCTGACCCTACCATCTAAATGTCGCTAGCCAGGTTTAAACCAGACCCTGTCCTTCACTTTGCTTCGTACAAGGGTCTGGACTTGCTGAATAGAGAATCGATTTCTTGCAGGAGGCGTGGCCTCTGCTGAAGTTTAAAATGATTGGATCAGTTGGCAGCCACGTATGTCGGTGTGAAGGAGGCTAAGCTAATAAGCTAACCGAAAATCGCGTGTGCTGTAAACAACCCTACTGAGCCAAACGAGACGTCTGTAAATGAGAGCTGCTGCTTTGTCAGACAAATTTAATTGAATTTGGAAGCCTTGTCAACACAGACTGGCTTCATTCACTTCCTCCACTGCCGTATGCTAAAATAACTAACAGACACTGCGCAGAACATCGACGCCATTCAAAACTCCACCTTCTGTTTGCTGATTGGCCCAGGTAAAATAAACTACAAGCAGATACTGTGCAAAAATTTGACGTTCTGTTCTGTGATTGGCCCGGCTAAAAATCTGCCAGCGAAATCCATCTCAACGGGAGAAATCCCAGACGGAGCAGTGAAGGGAAACTAGAATTGAGCGGAGCTGCGTAGGAAGGCAAGGGCCAGGCTAGAATGTCGAAGCAGAAATCGAGACTCATCAGACCAGACAACATTTTTCCAATTGTAGCCTCAGTTTCCTGTTCTTAGCTGACAGGAGTGGCACCTGGTGTGGTCTTCTGCTGCTGTAGCCCATCTGCCTCAAGGTTTGTTGTGTTGTGTGTTCAGAGATGATCTTCTGCCTACCTCGGTTGTAATAAGTGGTTATTTGAGTTACTGTTGTCGTTCTATCAGCTTTGAACCAGTCTGGTCATTCTCTTCTGACCTCTGGCATCAACAAGGCATTTGTGCCCACAGGACTGCCGCTCACTGGATATTTTCTCTTTTTTGGACCATTCTCTGTAAACCCTAGAGATGGTTGTGGGTGAAAATCCCAGTAGATCATCAGTTTGTGAAATACTCAGACCAGCCCGTCTGGCACCAACATTCATGCCACGTTCAAAGTCACTTAAATCACATGTCTTCCTCATTTTGATGCTCGGTTTGAACTGGAGCAGACTGTCTTGGTCATGTCTACATGCCTAAATGCATCGAGTTCCTGCCGTGTGATTGGCTGATTCCACATTTGCAGTAATGAGCAGTTGGACAAATGTACCGAATAAAGTATACAGTGAATATATGTGAGAGAATCCTTGATCATGGGACTCCAGTTAATGTCTTCCTTTGTGTAGAGGAACTGGAGCACTCTACTGCTGAAGGACATTTGGCAGCCATTAAAGGAGTTTTGTAAGAAAATGTTTTAAAATTAAATCATTGAATAAATAGAGGAGACCAGAGGTTTCATCATTTGATGCAGAATCTGCCTTGTGCAGATGGGGGGAGCATGTAGAGGTCTAAAAAAAAAGCAAACTGAAGATATTTATCATGTTACTGATAGTACAATACATGTTCTGACTTAGTGACTCTGCCTGCAATATTTACATTTGTTTAATCCAATGTCATATGTTATGTACCATTGTAACAATGTTAACAGCTTTGTATGAAAATAATAAATATTGTTAATAACAAAAATAAAGTAAAATATGTCCAACCCTGCATCCACGCTGACTGTGAGAGGAGACTTAATGTGATGAAGCTGGTTAAAATATCTGGGGTCTAAGAATTTCTGCATCTGCCCTCCTTGTACTGCTCCAGGTGTGACCCCCTTCAATTGAGGGATTTGACCCTGTGAATGCCGTCCAGCTGTGGCACTTAGCAGCAGAAGACTCAGGTGGCCCTATTTTATGCAGGAGAGGAGGGAACAGGAAACAAAAATAGTTTGTAGTAAATGAAAGTTTAAATAAAAGTATACTCCTGAAACTCAGGGGGGTTAGAGCACCTGTAAATTGAGGGGGAAAAGACTATTTTTTGATGTGGTCAAAAAAGAACAAACAAAAAATAAACAAGCTTTGACGAGTCTTTGACAACTCCGAGGAGCTGAAAGCTCAGTACCAGCTCACACAGCCAAGTCTCAGTGAAGGCACAGAACATAAAAATTAATAGTCTCTATTTTTCCCCAACAACAAATCAAATTTGTCCACTTTGTGCATGTTGGAAAAAATATTCCTGGTCGCAGTGAGCACAGACTGCGCTGATGATGACGAATCAACTGCGCAGTATGATGAAGGTACTGACTGAACAACAAAACAAGAGGATTTCCAACTCATCAGGTGAAAAATAATAAAAACAAATAAATATACTGCCACAAATGTATTTCTGTGAAATTAAACCGCATCTTTTTGGGGTGTGTTACTGTGCTTTACTACTGAATTGCTAAATTGTTTATTGTGCTCCAAAACACGTTTTGTAAAATAAATATGGCTAGTTCCTCAACGGAATTTAAAAAAAAAGAGTAGGTAAATTTCACAGGGTCACAGATGACATTTGAATTACTTAAATTAGGTCTAGTTAAAACATCTAATAGAAACAGCTAAATGAAGCTTTTAAATATCAAAATATGTTTTAAATCTAATTTTTTTATTGTTGCATTCTGGTTTGCTTCAAATATTTTTCTTTTTATTATGTCAGAAAGAACAAGTGAAGATGAACCAAGAGATGATTGAACAGCTCACATTTGGTTCCGACCTACCTTTGTTTATGATGGAGTCCAGACAGTGGAGCTCAGGTTAAAAAGAGATGTGCTCTAGACTTCGGGAGTTGTGGCCCATTCCAGGGTAGCCAGATGAACAAGCAGGCAGGCGTGAGGAACACACTATCTGACAGAAAAAAAAAACCCATAAAAGGTATGTGAGAGCAAACACTTGGAAAACAAAGACACGACTAGAGACGTTTTTGAATATTTTCCATGTTGATAATACAGCAATTACCTAAATTACCTAATTGCAAACCCAACAATTTCCAGAATTTAAAGCTGAAACTTTGCACAAAATTCATGTTCAGAAAAATGTAATGCAATGTGACTGAGCATTATACCCTGTCACTGCAGAAATACGTTGTTGCAGAGTCTCTGAACACACAAGCAAAGATGAAAGCTTACTGATCACAAAGTATGTGTGCTGCAATTACCCACGCACTGTCCTGAATGTCAAGAAGCTGCAATCCTAAAAAGATTTATGATCTGACAAATCAAAACATACAAAGCTTTAAGACACAATACCCACACAAAACAGGTTCTCCTGTGTCACGAATTAAATTAATCCAAACTAAAGTAGTTATATTTCAACAAGTAGGACCGGATTTAAAGACACACAATCCAGCTAAATGCATTTTTGTCAATGGCTTGTTTTATTATCTGCAAGATTAAAATAAAACGAACTCGTACTATTTATAATTTGAAGCAATTTTAAAAACGTGAAAAGGTTTAAAAAACATGTTTACAGTCAAAGAAAGCAGTCAAGTATTTTAAGTAGTTTAAGTATTTATTACTTAATAAATATTGTAAACAAATAATAATACATTTTGAAGAACTGCTGTTTTCTAAATACACTTGGTTTGTTTTTGGTATTAAGTAAGCAACAGCTTACAAACTTAAATACTTAGTTATGGTGTAAAAAGCACAACAGGCCAAATAAATTGCCTGCAACTCTGTGATTAAACTTCACATAACGAAGAAAAAAAAACATTGACTATGATCCGATTCTGCAAAACCCAGATAAAACCAAAGCATCAAGACTCTGACTTATCGGATAAACTCGGCATAAGTTTAAAAACAAGTTAAACCTTAAACAGCGGTAATTTCTGCAAGAAATATTTACATTATTTCGCCTCGCCGATCCCCTGCAGTGGCAACAAATTTGAAATGTATATATACAGATTACTTAATTAGCTTTGGCAGAAGAACTAAGTCAATAAAACAGGTTATAATGAAAGTCAATATGTAACGACAGTTGCTGGTAATGTTTAGCTCGAACAGAAACACCGGTTAAGGCTAACGCCACTGGAAGCTAACCTAGCCTGGTAAAATGTTTGTAAGAACGTCCTGTTAACCGACTCACAAGTCAAATGCTAGGCTTAACGTAACTACATATTATGTATACATAAGATGCTGTGGGAGCATCATCACAGTTGGAGGGGCATAAATTTAGCTGAATAACATAATACGGCGATAAAATGGCTAAGTGTTAATTTTTTTTCGCGCTAGCTTAGCTAGCAAACGTTAGCCGGTTATCTGAAGCCTGCTGGCTAATCGTCTCAGAGGCAGCAAGTGCCGGAGCAGGGAAGTAAACCTTACCGACTGACAGCGGTGAGAGCCGAGTCTTGATCATGTGGTTTATCCCGCCATCAGCACTGGGCCTTAGAAATCAAAGGCAGGTACGAAACAAAAATTCCAAGAAGGAAAATAATGCTTTTAAAACTGATTATGTCTGGCGCGAAACGGTTTAGCTGTGGAGCGTACTTTTCAAGATGGCGGTTCCGTCAACTTCAGCAGCAGCTAGCCTGCGACCCCGGCCCTTCCCCCATCGCAACGACGATGGGCGTTATCTGCAGGCTCGAAGTGGGCGTTTCCAAAGCGCAGTCGTTGCCACAGCGTAAATACTGATTGGCTAGTTGTATTAGCTGTTTTTCCCCCATCTTTAGTGAGCTCAAAAAGCACACATGCGTCTGGTGGATTAAATTGTTTTATTTTAAGTATTTAAAACATTTTTTACTGTGAAAAGTTCTACTTATTAAGGTTGTTTTCATATGTCTTGAAGGCAATCTATGTAGGTTTTTATCACAACACCACTAGAGGGCGTAGCCGTTTTGTGACTGTTGTGATGTTAGAATGTAAAATAATTTTAATGAAAGCAGTCATTTAGAAGATGTCATGTTTGTAAGCAGTTATGTGGGATCTATTATGACTTGTCAATTTTATTGCTCTGGACATTTCCTGTAGATTAGAGCAGCTGCATAAGTGGTCCTTCAAGGGATCCATGGTTAGTTGTAACATTAGACTTTATTTAATAAACATATATTTAACTGTAAAATTAAGACTGTAAGAATACTGTAGGATGTTCAGTTTTTACCATTTTTAAACTAAAAGTTTAAAAATATATATTACATGGACCGGGCCATTTTATTTACACACAAAGCATTCTGGGTAAATGATGACATCAACTAGGTCATCGGTACGAGGCTGCTAGTGAGCTATATCCACCCTGAAGGTTAATCTTGGACAATATCTGATGATCGACTCTTTTAAATGAAACCAGAGAGCGTTGACAGAGAGGAGAAGGTAGCAAACAGAGTCCAGACCGAATCCGATCTGGAGGTAGCATAGGGTTTGGAATGAGTCCGCAAAATGGACCCAGATCGGAGTCCACTTGCACAGCGGACGGGTCCGGAACAGATGATAATAACGTGTCTGGATCAGATCTGGCCCAGACCCTATCCGGATCCGTTCATTCCCCACATCATCCGGCCCGGATCCGATTTGGATCCGTTCATTCCCCACATCATCCGGCCCGGATCTGATTAGGATCCGTTCATTCCCCACATCATCCGGCCCGGATCCGATTTGGATCCGTTCATTCCCCACATCATCCGGCCCGGATCCGATTAGGATCCATTCATTCCCCACATCATCCGGCCCGGATCCGATTAGG